CGCCCACAGAATGCTGGCTATTACAGTACTTTTACTCTTAATTGTTAATTTTTAATGAAATACTTTTATTTTGCTACTTTAATATTCTTAACGTTACAGAGTAACGAGTCTTCTTTTCTCTCTCACTTAGTCGCTTCCTGTCTCTCTCTCTCTCTCTCTCTCTCTCTCTCCCCTCTTCTTCTTCTCCTCCTCTCTCTCTCTCTCCCCCTTCTTCTTCTTCTCTCTCTCTCTCTGTATCTCTCTTCTTCTTCTCTCTCTCCCTTCGTCTCTCTCTCTCTCTCTCTCTCTCTCTCTCTCCCCCCTTCTTCTTCTTCTTCTCCTCTCTCTCTCTCTCTCTCTCTCCCCTTCTTTCTTTTTCTTCTCTCTCTCTCACTGTCTCTCTCACTGTCTCTCTCTCTCTCTCTTTCTCTCCCCTTCTTCTTCTTCTCTCTCTCTCCCCTTCTTCTTCTCCCACTCTTCTCTCCCTCACTTCCTCTTCCTGTCTGTCTCTCTCCTTCTTCTTCTTCGTCTTCTTCTTCGTCTTCTTCTTCTTCTCTCTCTTCTCTATCTCCTTCTCTCTCTCTCTCTCTCTCTCTCCTTCTTTTTCTTCTTCTTTTTCTTCTCTCTCTTCCTCTCTCTCTCTCTCTCTCTCTCTCTCTGTCTGGTGTTTGTCTTTAACTGTGAGAGGCTGTGTAGCTGTTTAACTGGTAAATGCAGTAATAATGTCTGATTCTGTATGAAGTGATCAGCATGTTACTGGTGAAATATACAACGGTAAAATCAGAGCTGGGTAAGTTGCTGAAGTTGCTGTTGATTTTAATGGTCTGAAATGTTTTGAACAGATATCAGTGAAAATATAGAGTTTGAAGGCTGTGCATGTGTTTACTGTCTTTAGTTCACACCTATTAACGTAAGCTAGAGTGCAGGGAGCTGATGGGCAGCAGGACTCTCACTAAAATTACAGCATTAATTAAGCAGTCTACTCATAATTTTGACTCCGTTTTTTTCTCTTGAATGTGCTTAATTAAATAGTAACATTCTTTGCACACTCTTTCAGGGATTCTAAAATACTTTATTGAAAACAGATAAACTAGGAAGTCTTATAATCATCTAACCATGAAATGCATATAGTTTAATGTAAACCTTGTTCCTTACACAGTTCACAGAAAGGTGTGTAACTGTGCTCTAGCAGAGTGAACTGTGATCAGTCTCAGCTCTCAGAACTTTAGCTTTAGTGTTTTTCTGTACAGATTATTTCCAGTGATGTAGCTGAGTCAGCTCAGAAATATGTTCAGCTTGTGACAGCGGAAATACGAAAAAGTAACTAAGTTACTCAGTACTTAAGTAGTTTTTCAACAAAGTACTTATTTACTCTTACTTGAGTAATTTTATTTACTAATACTTTTACTTGTACTTGAGTAGGGATTTTCAGTACTCTTTACACCCCTGGGAATAATCAGGCCGTATTCGCTCCTCACTAAGCTGGGAAGATAGCTAACAGGCTCTAATATACAGAGACAGACTCTAAGTTTAAATCATTGTTGAGGCTGTCAGCATCCAAAGAAAATAATTAGTTACTTACATGTCTGTTATGAACTTTAAATGTCTGCATTTGATCTAAAAAGTTGCAATAAAAAGCAAACATTTTTCACCATTATTTTGATGCTGGCATAACAAGCGGTAGCAAGACTGGTGAACCAAACCTGCATACAAATCAACGCTGCTGTGAAATGACAAGCTTGGCACATGTTCATGATTGTGTGACTGTATCTGACTTTCAGCTTAAATAGGCCGTGAAAGTTGAATACCTGTGGTCGATACCAGGGGTGCACAATCCTGGTCCTGGAGGTCTACCACCCTGCAGAGTTTAGTTCCAACCCTAATTTTGCATACTTAAACTAGGTAAGGAATGGCTTTCAGACCTTCATTGCCTGGATAAAGGCATCTGAATAACAAAGCCAGATGTGCTGGATCTGAACTCTCCAGGGTGAGTAGATCTCCAGGACCAGGATTGGGCACCCTGGTCTATACTGTGTTTGGCACAGTATAGCCCCTTGACCCCGCCTCTTCTGTTAAGACAGCCATGAAAGCAGTGAACATTATTATACAAAATCAACACCCTGAAAATCTCCTTTTCTTGACAGAGGGTAAAACAGGGTATTTGTTTTACATTCTTTATAGTTGTCATTTATCAAGCAGAAGGAACTATGTTTTATTGAAAAAGAGCAAAGTATGTCTCCTTGAAAGAGCCTGCCTTCCAACAAGACAGAATTCTCTGAAAATACTTCCTTTACCTAAATTGAAATGCATCTGTCAGCAGTGAAATGGGTGTGTTATTTTGACAACACACATTGTACTATGGGCTAGCCATTTGTTTGTTATGTGTGTATGTGGAGGGGGGCTTTTTTTGTTTGAAAGAGTATGCAAATGAAGCAGTTTGAATTATGAGACACAGATGTTGTCTTTCTGTGGGTTTGTGGTTGTTCGGTTCAATAAAGGAATCACTGTTTGTAAATGAAAGAACCAAGTGTTCTGCCATTTGTAACTGAAGTCACTACAGACAGCGGACTCTTCAGGCTACTGAAACATTAATAATGACTCCGTTCATAGTACAGTCAGACTATCTCTGTATTTATTTAAGCTGCCAGCTTATCTTTGGTTTGTGGGGAAAAAAAGCTGCCAAGCAATAGCCAATGGTAAAATATAATTTATAACAGTAATGCCTTCACAGGGCTTATAAAAAATTGTCTCAAACCTCAGCCATTGGCCAATTTGGCTGTAAATAAGTCAGGTTCAACTATAAAAATGAATGATCGGTGCATCCCTAGTATTTCCTGGTCTCGTTTTGGCAGCACAACAGGTGGAAAAAAGAGGTCTTTGACAGCAATGCGGCCTTGATGTTTAGAACTCAAATGTAAAATTACTCTTTGAGTACTCCAACACGCTCGTAAATGTCGTTTCATCTGCTAATGAGGATCCGAAGCACAACCAATGTTACGAAATGTTCGTCCATACTTATCATGCTGTTATACATTTACACCAGAGAGTTCTCAAAAACCCCAAAGGTATGTAGTTAGAGCTGGGCGACAAGTCAAAAATTTAATATCAGTCGATATCAATGCATATCGCGATAAATGTCAAATCATTATTTCTTTCAAGTTTGAAGGCTGGTTTTTGCTCCTGAGTGGTTAATTGCTGTTTTAAACTATCCTTTAGGGTCAGAACATGACAAAAACTTGCCAAACAGTGGAACATTTCACAGTGTCTGTCATGGGATAGTGGGAGACTTTTTTTAACAGCTGGAACGGCACAGACGCAATTTTTGTAACAGTCAAAAATTTAAAAAGAAAACGGATTATTTTAGCTGTCTGGTGACGAGTGCTAGGCTATCCCGTTACAAGTGCTAAACTGTTTAGTTTTTCAACAGCGTCATCTACAGTAACATTAATTCGCCATCCTATGCGAGTGACAGAGTGCTGCTTCAAATTAGCCAGCTGCTAAAAGCAGCTAGCCTGGGAAGCTTGCGTTCTCCACTCTCCAATGCCTCACATAAAACATTGCATCCTCAGTTTACTTTCGTTTAAATCAGGGCTGTATCGTGCATGAACCCATTTATTTGTTTCACTTTCATTGTTTGGGAATGCACTAATACTAAAATATGACTGTCTGAGCGCTGTAACAGTGCTGTAGTTGTGAGGAGCAGATGTGATTTAACACTGCTAAAGCTTGTCACGATGTACAGAAAGAGGTGAGTTCGCTCTAGGACATTACAGTTAGAAAACGCCACCAGGGCTTTTGCTAGAACATGGAAATGTGAGAATGGTCTATTATATTGAAAATTTTTGGACATTCCGTAGTTATATTGCAATAATTATCGTTATCATTTTATTGCTCAGCCCTACATGTAGTGCAGCTTTAAACTCTTGAATTTGAACACAGAACACCAGTGTGGTTTGAATAAAAAAATTACATATTTGAAATATAACTTGAGAATGACATGTAACATGAAAGACCTTTTTCAGTAAAGAAAACTGATGAGGAGTAAGAAAAATAAAAAATTTGAATACAAAACAATGTGAAAATATTAAATAAATTGGCCTGTACTGTTGATCTGATTTCTTAACATTTTTCATTTTGGTATGTTATGATTACTGTTTGTTCATATGTTGTGAAGTAATTAGGCTAGAGTCTAGATGTACATATTCCATTTTTTAAATACATTACTTTTCGGGATGAAAAGCAAAATATTGATGTCATGTAATACTAGATTTCTGTTATTTTGTGTTGCATCCTCAAAAGCCTGAGGGTTGAGAGCTGGTTGTAGACTATATATATATATATATATATATATATATGTGTGTATGGGTTGGTGAAGGATGCAGCAGCTAAACCGGCGGCTAACCCAACAGCTTTCTTTGCTGCCTTTATATGTATCCACAATATGTTATGACGTATTTCTGCTGGTTATTGCTATTTTTCTAATAAATAAACTTATCACTTTGTTCTGAATGTCAGAGTTTCCAAACAGCTGAATAGAAGACAAAAATAATTGTTTTTTTTTGTCAGGAATGGGCTATTCTTCTTTGCGTTTGGTAGCTTTTGTGTTTGGTAATGTTACTAACTTCTGGTCTTGGAGTTGCAGCAAGGGTAACTTTTAATGTTTGAATGGGTATTTTCTTCATTTAGATGTCTTAACATAGAAGAAAACCCAGGGTGCTACTGAAGGAGCATGTTCTACCACCATTTACAAGACACCAATTGATAGAATGGCTTGCTGAAGAATGTTGTCAAGCCTCCAGTAGAGGTGTAGAGACTTTCCACAAGAAGATCTTTGAGAGGCACATGAGCACAACAGGCTTACTGCTGATTTGAACAAAAGCTGCCTCTCTTATTCAGTATGAGAAGACCAACAACAGCTTGTTTCTGATAAATTCCTAGAATCATGCAGAAGATTCAGTGCATGCACATGAAGACTTTTTTGTTACTTCTAGAAAATAGTCGTATTGTTCTCTTCTTCCCAGGCTGTGAATGAGAAGAGTAGAAGGTGGGAAAAGTGTCCTTTGAGAATCAATCCCAGAAATCCACGCTGTCTGCAGGACCTTCTACAGCAGATCTCTCTCTCTGTCTTAAGAACTATGATGCTTTAGTTTTGTAAGCTACACAGTGCTGCAGGTAAGAATTTTTGCACATTTTCTTCGTCACATATGCATGAAAATGAGCATCTTACTTAACTCCACACTCTCAAACATTGTGTTAATGATCAGCACAGCTTTTGTGTTGTCTGTTTTAACATGTTTTGTCTTACATGGAATAGAGATGTTTTTAAAAAAAAGTTACGTAAATCTATGTAAATGACATGAATGTGTTTTACATGTGTAATTGTTAATAGTACATATGTTACTTGTATTCTTTTGGCAGTGGCTTTTTTTGGAGATTAAATAAGCCATGTGTGCACAGTTGAACACCTGTGACAGCAATGGGTGCAGCTTACAGTAGCCGAATTCACTATTTAGAAGGAATGTCTGGATACTCTTGGACATATAGTATATAAGGGTCTCACTGAGTGTTACTGAAAGTTATTACATTATTATCTAGTGCCTGGCCCACACTACAGGTTGATTGGGCCGATTTTGAGGCCAAATTTCTCCTTCCAACTATTCCAAGAGATCTCCCGATATCAGAATGTTTTAAATAATGATCTTCCCAGATTATCCTGTGGTGTGAGGTGTCTATAATCCAATCTTTACTCCTCCAATCTACTCTTAAGTCCAATCGAGGCTGCCCCAATTGTGAGTCGTACATGTTCAATTCACGACTCAGTATCCTGTAGTGTGGGGTGGGCACTGATTCCTTGGTGGGAAACGTGATGTTGACATCATGCCCAAAAGACTCAACCAATCAGATCAAATCAGATCAACCAATGAGGGCTCCGCTTAACGAGCTGAAAGCTTTTTCTGTGCAGAAAGCACACACCACCAGCACACCAGTAGCCTCGCTCTCATCCGCCATGTTTGTTTCAATCTAAAGGTGTGGGGACTCAACATCGGTTAGGATTGTTAAAATCCTGTGCTGTGGGCCAAGCATAAGCTGATAACCTGGCCTCCAGTAGCCCTGTAATCAAGGGAAAGTTGGTGTGGCCACAAACAAGGCATTTGTTGCCCTAATGTAGAGCCAGTCAAAGCTGCATTTTTTTTTCTTGAATATTTTTTGTTCTGTTAGCATACGTGCTAAAAACTTCAGAAGTAGTAATGTAGCTAACTAATAAATAAACTTTTGCTGCCTTCTAAACACGTTGGTCGTTCTAGCTACCGTAACATGTCTTAATAAATGCATTTACTTCTTTTGTTATTTACATTTATGCGCCTCAACTCAGTGCATCCAACATTCACATTGTGCTTGTTGCAGCATAATGTGGTTGAAAACTAACGACTGTAGGAAAATGATTGCAGGCAGCTTAGATAATTGTGATCATGTCAAAAAATTTGTAGTTGTTTCAAATAATTTTGATCACATGATAGGCCTAGTGACATGCAGCAAACTTCTAAGACGGCTGTTATTGAACTGTGGACAGCAGACTTAGGACAGCATAATTGGACCTGCTCTCTCTTGGAGGGTAGGATAGCACCTCCATCATTCCAAGTGTGTTGAGCTAAATGATGATGTTGCACTAGTTTGAAAAGATGGCTGGCTTTGGGACTGCAGCTGGTGGCAATTAATCGGTTCCTAAGGGCTTCCATTAATCTATTGATCTAGGAAAGAATAATTATGCTATAGGCTGGTAGTCTGTCAATAACAGGATATTTCATGTCATAGAGAAAGGTTCCAGTTATTAAAGAACTATGCTACAAGATTCCTGCATTACCCTCAACAATGCTATTTTACTTAGTGTGAAAGTTATAGAAACAGTAAAGAAGCTTTGCTTGAGCAAATAAAAAAAAAGTTGTATGACTGTGCAAGCATTATTATGGAGGTAGTTTTATTCTACAAGAACTTTGCATTGCTGTTCAAATAATTTCTCCTCTAGTAATAAAGTAAAAAGATAAATTAATTAGTTTGTATGTTCGGTAGCTTCATATAATCAAACCTGATATTGGCGATCACAGAAGCAGCCCAGTTATCAGCCATGTCACACATGCAGGGCCTTAAGGCATGTTCACCACTCGCCAAACACCAACAAATGCACATGATGTCATTGTTTTCAGAACTCTCCATCCATGTGAAAGCACAGAAAACTTAATTTTTAAAATTTCCACCCTGAAGAGCATTTCCCAGAAGTTTTGTGTTCACTGACCTACAATGATATTCATTTTGCTAAAGCAAACAGAGCTTGCTAAAAAGCGGACAACATTATGCTGTTTTTAACTTTTGACTACAGTTTTACTACAGTTTACTCACCATGCTGAGCTTCTGCATAGATGTTATAAAGGAAGAGATCTCTGGTCAAAAAATAAATGGAAAACCTCAATGTTTAACACAGCATCTGTTTACAAGGATAGTCCGCCCTTCAGTAAAACGAGCCAATCAGCTTGCTGTTGAAGCTGCAGATGGGAAAGATCTCCCCTCGTTGTGGTGCTGCATGCAGAGACAGAACAAACTGAACCCTCCAGTTTTTTGTGTTTTATTAAAGCCAGAAGCTACCAACTATGCTTTATGCTGGTTTTGTTAGATTTTATCAGTGATTTTTACATATGTTTTCAAAACACTACTGAGGCTTTTAGTTTCAGTTGTATAGGTCTCTCTTCATTCAAAGAGATAAGCAGCCCTGACTTGTATGAGTAACTGCCCGGTGACATTGCTAAGATGGCTGTCGAATAGACAAACTTTCGTTTAAGGACTTTGGTTTTTGTAATTTTCTGCTGTGAATGCGTTTCTCTAGGTTCTCATACAGTCACACTGCAGTCAAAGGTGAACTCAGTTATACATGTAGCTCTATACTGTAGTCTCCGCTCTCTTTATTTTCTTTTATTCATTCAAGTGATGTAAATGAGGAGCACAGACATCATGATAACTGATTGGTAACAACTGATTTGTTGGCAACAATTTTTTTTACTGTCGGCGTGCACGATAACATAGTTGCAGCTATAGCTGGCTTTGTGTGTCTCAGAGCAAGCACTTACTAGCCTTCACCATCCAGCTTGGTGACATCATGTGATAGAGGGAGATGTGACTAGCAGGTGGACCTCACAGTGTCTGAACTGGGGAGTCAGTTGGGTAACTGCCCCCCACCCCCATTACCCACCCACCCAAAAAAAAAAGTATTATAGTTTTATTTTTGCCATATTGCCCGTCCTGTGATAGTTAGTGGGAACTGGCAGTGTCTAGCATTTGGAGTAGTTAGTTGGAGAGCAGGGGGAGAACAGTGGAAAATCTCTTCCAATTGTTCTCACTTGGCAACTTTACCAAATATCTTGGCAGATATGTCTCCTGTCTCCTTTTTTAATTCAGTAGTCAGATGACGGGCTAAAGCTATAGATTAGACTTAAGAGTGTTATTGTAACTACCGAAAATTCCACTGTGGTTTAGACCCCAAATCTGTTTTGTGTTAATAGCAAGTTCAGAGAAATCATCTTATCACGCTCTCTGGAAAGCCTGTTCAGCTCCTTCCTTTATTTATGGCTGTTGTTGAGCTCAGTCATATGCAGGTAGAACTCAAAACAGAAATTCAAGTGCTGTGGGTTCAAAGATCAGAGTATGATGTGTTCCAGGAAATAGCACTTTGTTGAGTATGACTGTGCATTTAATACAGAATACGAGAGCAGAGCACTTTGTTCCGCTTTGGTCTTGTGGCCAGGTGATATGCTCACACTACTGGCTGGATGACTGTTTCTGTATTTTACTGTTATGTGTAGGTAATGAACAAACATAGTTCCAAAATGGTTGTGACAATATATGAAATGCACATACAAAACAAAAAGAAATTATATGTAAATCCAATTTGACTTGTATTTAAGCAAACGTTTTATGTTAACAGCTTCATTGTTTTTTTTTTTTTGTAAATATACACTCATTCTGATCCACAAATGCAGGCTGAGACTGTACTATGCACAGTGGAAGTCATATATCAGCAACATCCAGAAACAATGCCAATTTCTCTGGGCTTGAGCTCATCTGAAATATAGTGATGTACAGTGGAATTGTATATTGTGGTCTGGCAAGTCAGCCTTTCAGATTGTTTATGAAAATAGTGGACGTTTGGTAGTTTATTGGTGCCAGTGGGATGTGAAACTGGCACATCTGTTTATTAAAAAACACTTGTGATGAGTGCTCATTTCTGCGAGCAGGGAAATGCGATTCCCCTCTTCTTCTAATGACGGTGGAGTTTTATTCCTCACTGGGTTCTGTACATATATGATTCAAGTTTACACCCAAACTGGACTAACAAAGCTTATAACAAACGTCCAGGAAACCTTTTAACTTTGTATGCAGTGGATATACCGTGAGTCATTCAGCAGATATTTCAACTTAACTCCGAACTACTGAATTTGCCTGTTAGCTCATTAGGAGTCTGCTGAACTGCTTAGGTTAAGTGTGTGTTGCCTTTACACTTTTTTTAATTTATACAAACGAAGTTTGTGACTGCATACACAAGTGCATTCATGAGATTTTTTTTTTTCTTTCTCTAGCTCAGTGGGATGTGAGTTTTGGGAGATAAAAAGTAACCTTTCTGGGTCTTCTTCTATAAAGGTGGCATGGTGATTATTTTTAACTAAAGTGTGGCCATGATTTAATATATTAAGCCACAAGTTAAGTTTTTCATGCCATTGTGGCCTCAATATATTTATTTGTGGCCTCAATATATTAATTTGCAGCCACACCATAATAAAAAATAATCCCCATATTACCTTAAGGGCTCTGTATCTTTTTGCTGTGCTGTGGCTGTTGTGATTGTTTACAAGCTCCACTCAGAGGACTGTAACATTATCAGAATGTGATGGCTAGTAGGAGTTTGTGAAAGCAGAGCTGCTCTGTGTGCCTAAGAAATCTCAGATTAAACTGAAGCCTGTTTGACTAAATTGCAGTGAAGTTAATTCAGTGCCCACGATTGTGTTACTGTGTGTGTGTAATAGTGTATACTGAATACCATGTGTATAGCTGAGTTTAAAAGAATGTTTGAAAGTCTGTGAATCTCAAATGAAAGTGGTTTGAGTTTTGGGGAGCTGGTTATTCAGTGA